GTTCTTGGTGGATATCAAGCGGGCGGCGCACGACGCTCGTGGAACACATCGGACTGGCCCGGAAAAGCCACTCAAGTCGGTTTTAAGGAAGCCAGACGCAGGATCGCAGGGAAAATCAGTGGAGTTCACGGACCCCCTTGTTGCCGTAGAGGGAAAAGGGAAGTTCATCATCACATCCACGACACTCCTATCTGAAAACGATCCGAACGGGAGATATATCCATTATCTGCGCAGGCCGACGCTGGCAGAGCTGCAGAATAAGGTTGGTGTTTTCGAGATTCCGCTAAAGGATGTGCTAGAGATGCCGAATGGAAAATGCGTGAGAGTGAAGAAGGCAGATGGAGAGGAGGTGGGGTGGAATGTGCTGGAGGTGCGTCAGAGACTCTCTTTGGGATGGGGTTCAGAAAAGATGCTTGATATGGCGGAGAAGGAGGAGAAGGACGCAGAGCAGCTTCAGGCGAAAAACATTGCGGAGAAGGATGAGGTTGAGGAGAAGGAGGGCGAAAAGATGAAGATGGCGGGAAGTTGGGTGGAGGAGAAAAATGAATGATCAATCGTGTTGATAGTAGCATCAGTGGTAGCTGAGTCGCTTCGGGTTGTATGATAAACCTGGAGGTATGACGACAGGCCGGTTGCAGTGCTGTATCAATTGTAATCCACATCCTAGATAAAAAGTTTTTACGAAATAAACTGCAGTACTACAGTATCAACTCACTTTACGGTGTTCGTCATACCATTCGAAGCGACTCTAAACTATACAAAGAGCTGGCGCTGGCTTCCAAATATCATATCAGCTATGATAATGTAATTAATAGGGAGGTTTTGCTAAGTCCGACCTATTTTTGCTGTGTTTTTACTATTCCACACCGTGAACCCCATCATTTTCTTAGCAACAGAACAACTTTAGACATAACTTCGACCTATTCAAGTCTATTTAAGTCGGACTTAAAGTAGACAAGACTTTGTGCCAAGCAAAGGTATGCAATCTGGACCAAACTACGATTTTATAGAACGCAAGGGACCGCCCGGCTCATCTATACTCAACCTCCTAAATATCGTAGCAAACGGATGAAAACCGGCTGCGATAGCTGAAGAGTTTGAAAGCGGCAGCGCCGGTAGGAAAACCCTCAAATAAAAAACAACGGAGTTTATAAGTCCGACGCCCTAGCAAACCCTCCCTAGCTAATTTTTAGTTGAAATATCTACGTGTCTCTTGCTTTTCGGGTGGTTATCGGAGTGCAAAACTGGAAAACAAGGTCGTTCCGCTCAACCAGACACATAATTACTTTGAACACAACGGCAGCTTAGATAATCAGGATCGTCGAATTCCGGTCTTGGATTGGCACGGGATCTCTGTGCCGACAGTTGCGGTTCATCGCCGGTGCATGGCACAGTATCGTAAGTACTCATGTGGGTATTTGATTGCATTACACGGCATCTATTACTAGTTTCGCCGACGGCTATGATGGTAAAGTTCCAGGTTTTTATGTTGCCCTCCTCGAAAGCCATCCGACCGATCCTTGCGCGTCAACCAGGCACCATTCCGCCATCCCACCTGTATCCCAAGAAAAGCCCTAAAGTAAAACCCATTAAAAAGACGCCCTGTATTCACCGCCCATACCGCCCTCCTCTCCCAAGTCTTAATCGTACAATCCAATCTAAACCAATGAAGTTCGTGTGCACCTTCCGCAATCTAAAAGTCCGGATGCGTCCTCAACCTCTCCGCTCTCATCTCTGCCCTCCGCCTGTCCATGCGAGTCATATACACCCCCATCTCCTCCCCCTTCTGCCGCTTCTCCTCAAGCTTCATCTCCTCCTTCTCCTCCTGCACGGGCAGTCCCAAGTACCGTCGTCGGTTCTCAACAGCCTCCGACTTCGGCGCCGGCATCTTCACCTTCACTTTTGGCCCCGTCCCAAGGCAGCTGAGAATCGCCCACGCCACGACGCCGACGACAACGGCTAGCAGCGCAGCAGCCAGCGCTGCAAACATCGGTGGATCGTAGAGGTAGAGATAGGTTTCGAATTGACCGCGTGATAGTGATGTGGGCAGTGATATGGACAGTGACGTGCGCAGCTCACCGAGCACACGCAGACACCAGCGCGAGATTTGGTCGCTCATGAGTTGCTCCGCGATTCCGAGCGTGAACGTGCCGACTGATGTGAGGATTACGATGGTTATGTGACTGACGGGGGTTGGGGGGGGTTTTAGTTTTTTAGGGCGTGAGATGCGGCTGGCGGGGAGGTGGCTGATGGAGTTTGTGTTTTTGGTGTGTTTGACGTGTTTGGCGGAGTTAGCGGGGTGCGGAGTGGTCGTGGTATTAGTGGTCGTGGTAATAGTGGTGGTGGGGGGGTCGGCCATTGTTTTGACGTGGAACGGGCGCCTAGCGGGTGTGCTGTGGACAGTGATAGAGTGATAGAGTGATATCGATACCAAGCGTCGCTAAATACGTGCAGGACAGCGTGAACGAGCTGAACGAGCTTAACGGGCTGGAAGGGCTGAAATAGTATAGCGGATCTCAGCCCGACGTCGTGAACATCCAAGGCCACCGGTTCGCAAACTACTGTCTTCGCTGACTCTTCTAGAAGTAAAGACGCAGCTCGGTTCTGGAGGTACATAAGTTCCCATGTTGCGGATAAAAAGGGGGCGGGGACGGGGGTGCACAGACCCGCCAATGTGCTTGTGAAACGACGCTCAGACCTCATGCATCGTTGTTTCGATATTGTATTTGACTGCTGTCTTGAGTAGAAATTCCAAAGGAGAGGAATACTTACAGCATCTCTTCAGCACTCCACCAAAGCAATTGTATCGCATTGTGTTAGGTTGACAGCTCAGAACTCACGGCATCACGTGACGCCAAAAACTTGGCAACCCAACCCAACCCCAACGCCACCCATCACATCCCCTCCACCCCAACCGCGACGAGCCACCATGAAACGCCCGCTCCTCCGGCTCCTGCGCGCCCCACACCCCGCCACGCCCCAGCGCCGATGGTACCCGCAAAAATACTACCCTCCTTACAACCGAGACTCCCTCGACATCCCCCTGCCCATCCCGGAATCCGAGCGCCGTGCCCCACCGCGCCTGCCCCGCCGCAAACGCGAACGCGACCGCGCCCCGAAACCCAGTGGCTTCAGCCTGCAAGCACCGCCTAAGCGCGCCGCTCCCGTCCCCGACCCTGCGACCAAAGAGTCGGAGTCGCCGCCGAATATCTACCCCCTGCTCATGACGGCGGCGCAGGGCGGGCCCCTCGACGTCGCGAAACTGCGGAGTGTGCGACTGACGAACACGCCGCAACCGCTGCGGTTTTTCCAACTCCCGCTGTCCACCGCGATCCGGGCGCCGATTCCGGCGGCTGCAGAACAGATCCTGTATGAAGCCGTGCTGTCGGCGGCGTGCGAGAAGGGGATTGGGCGGAAGGCGATGGTGCGTGTTGACCGCGACACGAAGGAGCCGGTCGAGCTGTATCCGGCGCTAGATGTGCCGGCGCCTGGGTGGATCGTGGGCGACGTGGTGGATGTGGATCACGGGCTGCAGAAGGCTGTGAGGCGGGCGGACCGTGCGGCGGCGAGGCGCGCGGAGGGGAACAGGGGGAAGGGGGGCGTGCTGCCGGAGGTTGGCGAGTCCGGTGCGGAGGACGGGCAGGCGGCGGTGATGGTGCTGAGTGCGAGGGATGTGGCGCAGCCGCCGGTGATTGTGCACCGGCTGGCGGGCGGCGAGCGGCGGTATTATCCGCTGCTGCTTGGGTTACGCTGGCGCCCCGATGAGGAGAGGGTGTTCTGGCGGGTTTGGGCTGATGAGTTGAAGCGGGCGCCGGGGGAGGTGATGGCAGTAAAGGTTGAGGTAGGAGTGGCGCAGCGGCATCGGAAAGGACGGTGGACGCTGCCGCTAAGGGTTGTGTCGAAGCTGCTGGCAAGGTGGGTGCAGGAGGCGCAGAAGGGGGGGAAGGAGTGGAGGTTGGATTCGGAGAAGGTGGCAGACGAGGTGAGGGAGAAGAAGAAGGCCGAGGAGGAGGCGAGGGAGAGGAAGAAGTGGAAGAAGGTAGTGTGGGAGGATGTCGAGCCGGATGCTCAGGGGAAGAAGATGAGGAAGGTGGAATGGGTGAAGGTTGAGGAGTGAAAGATGGCGTAGTGAGGGGTTCGGGTGAGGAGTGTGCATACGCAGGTAGAGGGTACATATAGAACTGATAGAATAATATCACCTTGGCCGTCTGCAACTCCATTTCAACCCCAGTTGGAATTGTCAATTCTGCACCCTGTATCACTCGACTTGCGACCACGTGGGCTCAGGTCTGTCTCGGAGTACCATCCCCTCGTTCTGCCTTTCTCCGTCTCTTCTCACACCCTTCACCAACCAAAGAACTCACGACCATACTTTCATCTCCACGAAGGCATCAGCACCAGTCTATAAACTTCTACTGAGCCTATGGTAGCAGCTCATGACCTCTGTTCCCTGATGTGCGATTAGAATTTGAGCACTCAAACAGCTGCAGAGTTATTCAAGACAGCTCGGCTAACTTCTTTGCTGCTTTAGAAACATCCCCATACCACTCGCCACATGCTCACCAGATTTCTGATCGTGCCAGAAGGAGTGTCAAACGTGCCCTTTTCCAACATCTCCAGTGCACCCCTCGCAGCAACAGGAGGGGCTCTCGCCACGGCGGTCCATTGAAGATTCAGCGAGAAAAATCCACGAAGACTGATCCGATCGATAGAGCTGTGTACCCGCTCAAGAGCTGAACCGTTTTAACAACAAAAAGTTGGTTTTAAGATCTCATACTGATTATGAACCGATTGCATGAACCGTCCGGTTGAAACACCTAATAAGCGAAATAAAGTGATCGAAACTGCGCAGTTTATGCAACACCTCAGTATCGATGCACATCAGGTACATTTGTCGCAGCGTTACTGACAAAACGACACACTTCGCTAGTCACTCCAACACAACCCGTGCTAAAATCCGATATGCCTTCAAAATCACCGTTCTCCAACCGGGCCAAGAGTACTCCGTGGCGCAATGGTAGCGCGATCCGGGCTTTTTCCATGGAAAGGGTGCGTGTTCGATTCACGCCGGAGTGACTGCAACGCCAGCACCGCGGCCGGTGTCCACAGGGGCGACTAAACCCGTGGCTACCGAGCAGCAACCAGCTGCCCCCGCGGTCTGGTTTCGCAGGCTCTTGGCTCATTCTTTTCATCAACATTCCTTCGACATATGCAGTAGGTGCACCGCGCTAAAATTCGCTACTCGTGCCGAAATGCCAAATTCCCTTCGAGCCGAGAGGACGCCGTGGCGCAATGGAAGCGTGTTCTATTTCCTAAATCAGCTTTCGGAAAGGTCGCGTGTTCGATTCACGCCGGAGTCTCTGCAATGCTTGGCGCTGCGGGCGAAGTCCACGCTGCGGTGCGCGACCTGGGAGTTCGCGCAGCCGTGGGGTACATCGAGCACCATTCTGCACTCGTGGGCCGGTTGCGCGGACTCTTGGCTCGCTCTTTTAATGTAGAGAAGTTAAACTGCGCGATAATTCGGTAAAATTATTGACACGGTTGGCGCGAATCGAAGTCGGCCAATGTGTGGCGAAAGGAGCGTAGGGGTTTGAGAAGGCCGTTGCTGTGAAGATGGTGGGGCGAGAATGCGGGAGAATACATACGGCAACTGCGACGCTGGTCGCATTGGGTCGCCTTCTGGAATCCCCGGAATGTCGTCGGTCAAGACGAGTTTGGTTGCATAGTCGCTCACTGAAGGACTTTGGCGTGCAATGTCTAAGAGGGCAGTGTCTGGATCTCCGTCCAGATCTCTGATCCTAGGATAGTTATGTGATGTGACACGAGGAAAGGCTACCAAAGTATACCACACGTTGCGAATTGACGTGTCAGCGGAGTAGTTCGCCGTTGCGAAGTTGGATACCTGCAGATCCCTGAATTTCGAAGCGTCATCTGAATTCTGCCACCAGCAAAAACATGCTGCATCGATAGCTAGATCGCACAAAGTTCAACCCAGTTCCCATGGTGGCGCTGATGGGCGGTCGAACAACGGAGATTGTTAGTGGTGGTGTGGAGTGCCCGAGGCTTGGTCCGTGGGGGAAACCCATAATCACACAGTGCTGTTCTTATCTGAGAGAATTATATATCCTTACTAAAGTTGTCAAGATTGAACTGTACTAAACACAACGCGGTGTTTCTTGCATTGAGGCACGGGCGTGAGTTTGTCAACTGTACTGAGCCGACGATTCGAAAGCTCTGTATTACCTTTGCCTCCAACTTCTGTTTTACTTTCGTTGCCAGTTTGTGCCATCTTTTCGGTTGATGTTGTGCTGCTCACTGCAGTACTTGGGTTGACGGGTCGTCAAAGTGTACACATCTTGGTGCATCGTCCAACCAGTTAGCCACCGCCGGGAAATTAGTGGCAGGAAGATCAAGTAAGCGGCTTTCGCTGAACTTTTCGACAAAACACTCGTCGCGACCGGAAGTGAGGAAATGCCATCAGTGGATTTTGGGGAAATATATACGCCACGATGGCTGGAAGGGTGCCGTTTTTTTGGATGGACTCTGGAGGGACGCAGTGCTGCACAGCCGGATATTTCGGTTCCAATCCGGAGGTCCTGGTGGATGCGGTGCCGGGGAGACTGGAATGTTCATGGTATGATTGTGGTAATTGTCAGGTGCGTAAAGGGTACAGGAAGAGATACAGAAAAGCGGGACAGGGTCGATGAGGCACGGTGTGGAAACACATGGCCAAAAATGACCACCGATGCAGAAGTGCCATCTGTTCTAGTCAGCCGGCGGAGGCGCCTCCTCCGCGGAGTGACTAGTTGGTCGGCGGAGTACCCTCCCTCCTTGGGCCAACTAGTTGGTCCGCGGACTGTGGGTGCTCCACGGATCAACCAGTTGACACAAGGAAGAGGGATGGTACTCCCCTGGTGAACCAGTTGATTCACTGAGGCGAGGCCCTCCGCCGGCCAACCGGTTGACTCAGGGAGGGTTTGTATGGTTTTAACTAAGACTCCTTGTAATAAAGCAACGTTTAATTGCTGTACGCTGCACTGCGATGGCAACTATGAGTTGAACCAAAGTACGAGAACACCGTATGCTGTAAGGCCACTGATTTGTTATCTAGAACTTTTCACCACTGGGAAAGTCTAGTCGAGAGCCAACGCGAACCAAGTCAAGAAGGGGTGTTGCTACAAGAGAAACTGGCATAAGACGACTTCACTAGTTGAAGCATCGTACTATAAAAAGAGGAGATAAAAGCACCAAGAATGAAAATTGAAGCACTGGAGAGGACAGGGCGCGAGAATAGTCAGAAAGCTTCTGTAAATATGGCACAGCTATTTCGCAACTCTTGATGAGTCTGTTATCCCTTGTTTCGGATTAATTGCCGTGTATGTAATGCTATTTTGACAAATATATCAGCCAGTTGGCCCACGGATCCGCCGGCTGACTGGTTGGCCCAGGGATGGTGGGACTCCGTGGACTGGCAGTTGCTCCGCCGACCAACTGGGTACTCCGCGGAGGAGGCTCCTCCGCCGGCTGACTAGAACACCATCTACAACAACGATTCTAAACGGTACGAGATTTACTTTGGCATATGCAAGATGTCTATTCTGATACCATCTTCTTAGGTACATATGTATGAAGTCTAACCGACTTCCCAACTCCAGATCTGAGAAACCAAAAACTTCCGCCACACCACATCACTCATCATATCCATCCTCCCCTCCCTCATCCGCCTTTTCCTTCTCCTCCATCTCCTCCTTCCCCCACCCCAGCGCCAGCCTCGTTCTCACCTCACTGCGCATCCACGAAATCTCCTTCTCCTCCTTCTCCTCCTTCTCCGCCTCCGCGCCATCCATCCCCTTCTCCGCCCTCGCAGACGGAAGCAACTCGACCGTGTACTCCCTCACATGCTCCTCCTCAATCTTGAACGCGCCGAGGACCTCCGCATACGGCACCTCCCACTCCTCAAGCTCCCTGACCTCGTGCACGCGGGTCCCCGGCACACCCGGCTCAGGGATGAGATGCGTGGTCTTGGTAATCATCCACAGCCCAGTCCCACTGCGCTCGCTCCTCGGCGGCTCCTGGATATCACTCGCCACCGGTTCCGCCCATCTCACGCTGCGACGCGGACGCGGCTTCGCAAGCGGCGGCGGCTTCTGCCCGCGCGCCTTGGCATGCACGCGCATCTCCTCAGTCGTGCGCAACACGCCCGGCGGCATCTTCGGCCCCTTCTTGCGCACCCTGCGCTGCACACACGCCGCCAGCCCCATAACACCGTCCCGGATCCAGCGCCCCAGCTCGACAAACCCGTTCTCCAGCGGTCCCGGGTATCGCGTGTTGTACCGGCGCGCCTTGAGCGCCTGCCGCCGGCCCTCGGCGGCCGCGAGCTCGGCGTGGCCGGCGAGGCGCTCACGGATGAGGTCGGGCGTGATCTCGGACTCTGGGAGGCGCAGCTGGGCGCGGTAGAGCGCCGCGGAGCATTCGTGCACGAGCGTGTCGTCGGAGGCGTAGTAGTGCCGCGTGAGCAGGCGGTGCAGCAGGGTGGGGAAGCGGGGGTGGCGGCGCGGGTGGGGGGCGTTGGCGGGCGGGGGGGGGTCGCAGGGGGGGAGATGGGGCGAGGGGGATCCGGCGTCGTGGGGGGGCGGGGTGAGGGTTGTCTTTGCCGGTGGTGAGGGTGGCGGTGGCGAGGGTGGTGAGGGTGAGGGTGGTGAGGGTGGTTGCTGAGGTGGTTGGGGCGGCTCGCGGGGCCGGTTAGGGGGTTCGTCGCACGGTTGCGGAGTTGGGGGTGCGGGAGTGGTCGCAGCTCGTGGGGCGCTCATCGTGGTCGTGAGGGTGGAGGGTGGATGGTTGAAAAGAGGTTTTTTGTAATGGATGGTGGTGGGAGGAGCTGGGCCGGTGCTCGCGGGTTGGTAAACACGTGGTTCGCGCATTGTATGGGCGCGCTGTTGTAAAGTGCCCAGCGGAATGGCGGCGAGTGAGAGCTGGGTGGAGGACGGCGAGTGAGAGATGTTGTGAATGGTTGTTGGGAAAGGTTGGTGGATGGTGAAGGTGGGTTGGTGTGGTAACTGTGCTCCCGCGTATCGTACGTCATTCCCCGGAAGCTGGCGCTGTCAAACAAGAGATCATCTGCGCCACGTCGGACCGCGTCACTCGCCTCTCATTCAATGGCACCGTCCATATGTATCCATATTCAATTGCTTCCGCTGCACCAACTAACCCACAGGCACAGTGTTCTCACCAACCAGTATCCAAAGTTCTCCAAAACCCAAGTATACTCCCTCCCCATCTTCTCCATCCCAATTCTACCTCTGCATTCAATCACGACCCAGTTTTTTCTATTTCTCGACAGCGGGTGTCTCCTCCTCGCCGGCACTGAAAACATGAAGCTCGGCACGAACAGACTGCGGCCCATGTGATTGATCATACACAAAGCTCGGCGTTTGCACGGTTTTCGGTTGGTGGGTTTGGGTTGCCCAGGGGAGAGCTGCGCGTTTTCCCCGACAGAGTACTTGCTCTACGTCTGTTAGCTGGATGCTTGGGGCTGGGGTAGGCGCTGGGGGAAGTGGGAGTAGATCAGGAGTTGCGAGCTCTGGTGTAAGAGAATGTTGAAGATGACAGATCGTCACCGCTTGTCACTCGGTTTTGGACCTTTTGGTCATATTGGCTCGGATCTCTGCGCATCTCATCGTCCTCTTCTTCTCTTATTTCATTCCTACCAAAACATGACTTAGAACGCGACACGCTCCCCGACACCCACATCGCTGTGTAAAGCCAATCACTGTGTACACAGAACCAGCAGATTCCAACAACAACCAAGCCAAATTCCGTCCTGCCATCATTCTCCCGCACGTCTTCAACACCTCCAGCCAGCCCAACCACACCCCGCACCGCCAAAAAAAAAAGCGAGCCAAGAGTCCACTCAACCAGCCCACAAGTGCAACTACATAGATGTACATAGTAGTCGCTCGATATCCAGAGGTCAGATTCCTCACGGACACCGCTCGCGGGCTGGCGCTGCAGCGACTCCGGCGTGAGTCGAACACGCAGCCTTTTCGGGAGATAAAAACGCGCCACCGTTGCGCCACGGAGTCCTCTTGGCCCGGTGGGTGTGGTGGTATGCGGGTTTCGGGGGAGGAGTTAGGCGCCGGGAGGGGGGAGGGGGGTCACGTGATGGCCTGGACACGATGGGACGACGACCACGACGACGACGACGAGAGCTATGACGGGCGAGCTCCGTGCTGATGGTGGGAGGTGGCGGTTCTAAGGTGGCGTCTTTTGGGTCGGAATATGTTACATCGGTGTTCAAAACGTCATAGGTTGCTGCACATCATAGCCACTCACTCGCGGGCCGTCTGTAAGGTGATGGTAGGTGTCCATAGCCCGCACGTGGCTCAAGGCTGGCACATTCTGGTGCAGCGTGGAGTCCTGCCGACTTCGTAGACCCGATCTACACGAACTAAGCGCAATCACGAGGCTACCTGGGGAATGATGGTGGTACTCTAGCACCAGCAGATATAGCCTGTCGCGGTGACGCGTAGCCCACGGTGAAAAAGAGAGCAAACTCTACATCGTTTTTGTGGATCGGCGGCAAGGAGGGCCCGTTTTGGGGCATTCATGGGAGGGGTGGCGGATATACTGGTGGTGGTTGATGGCATGTGAAAGTGTGATACTCAAGAACCGTTCGTAAGCTCATGAGGGTTTGAAAAACGCAGTGCTCCTCGAGCTCTGTATTTGCATCCGGCCTCTGCGTCCACGATCACCAGCCGGCGCCTTCTGGATGCATCCGAGGCGTGAGATTGTCAGGGCGTGGAAAGGGCTCGGGCATGCCTAGGTCTGTTCTCGAAGCAGCGCAATCCTATCCAACTGCCAATCCTTCCCAGCGTCTAGTATGGCGAAACGGCCATTGTATCTCCTGGTCAATTCTAGAGCAAGTATTAATCGGTGAAGTAAGGTAGCTGGAGCTGCGTAAGAGCTGTCAGCGATAAACTCTCAACGAAGCAGCCTGCGTCATGTTCCAAACCCCCGAAAACGAAACAACTTCGGCTGGGACGTGACGTCCGACGATAGAGTGCAACAGACGAGCTCACTAAGCAATATGAGCAGGAGTTCCTCAATTCCGAACCCATCTCTTTTAGATCCAAAAGCACCATCGTGTTGTTCATGACGTCCATGCCCAACCCCGAGTGACAATCGGTGCATCCGTACCATCTCCAACCCTCTCTTCCCCCAAAACCCACGCCCCACATCCCACCATCCACCACCTCTACTACTCCCCAAGCTCTCATCCGCTCCTCACTCCTCACCTCACTCCTCATCGACCATATCTGTCCATACCCATACCCCCGTCACGTGCCACCACCACCCCCACACCCCCACATCCCCTCGTCGCTTGCCCACATCCCCTCAACTCCTCTACCCCGCTCCTCCCCCTCAACCCCCGAGCCAAGAGGACCCGTGGCGCACTGGCAGCGCGTTTCTATCTCTGGAAAGGTGGCGTGTTCGATTCACGCCGGAGTCACTGTAGCGGCCTGCACTGCGGCCGGCGTGCACCGTGCGGCCTTTTCAGGCCGCGGGCACGGTACGCTACGCCTAGCATCGTCTAAAGGCACTGTCAAAGGCATCTGTGGTCTGGCTTGCGCAGGCTCTTGGTTCGCTCTTTTTCGGCTGTGCTTACACAGGAGATCGCAGTTGTGGTTTGAACGTAACTAGGTATTCATTTGAGATTGAGATTTAAGTCAACCCGCTAAAACGGCCCCTTCTCCCCCCCAACCCACGGAAACGCCGCCTCCCCCACACACGGCACCTTTTCCTTCACAGCCTCCATAATCCTCTCCACCAGCCATCCACTCGTCCACTCATACTTCTTCCTCTCCAGATCCGGCTCCACCGCCGCGTCTCCCAGGCGCCACACAATATCCCCGAGCCAACACTTCCCCCCCTTCTCGGAGCGCCACTTGTACTGGAAGCAGTCTTTCCTGCGCTCACACGCGCCCCTGCACCGCTTCGCGCTCCGATGCGCCTTCTGGTCCTGCCCGTCCAGCTCCGCCTGCGCCGTCTCGTTGTGCAGCGGCAGGATCGCGCCGTTGGTCGCCATATTGTCCCACCCACTGCGCTGGCCTCCCTCCGCGAGAATCTTCTCGAACTCCTCCTTCACGAACTCGTCATACGCGTCGGCCCACCGCAGCACGCGCCCCGGCCGCGTCTCGCGCTGCTCCCACGCCCACACGTCGAGCATGCTGCGCGGCGACACGTGGTGCATGGTCACCAGCGGCGCGCACAGCATGCGGCGCTCGAAGCGCAGCGCGTGCGGCGGGTCGCCGTTGATCGCCGGGCGCGCGTCGGACACGTTCAGCCCCGCGTCCTTGAGCGCGAGGGCGAACACGTGGTCGCCGCAGCAGCTGCGGTTCGCGGCGGATTCGTACTGGCGCGGCATGCCCGGGTGTGCGCCGAGCGTGGCGGCCATCCCGCCGCGGGAGACGATGTAGCCCGACCCGCCGTGCGCGAAGAGGTCGTCTTGGCCGTCGAAGCGGTAGAGGGCGATGCTGCCGAGGAAGAGCGGGGTGGAGGCGTTGAGTTGCGACAGCCAGGTGGCGAGGTTGGACCAGAGGACGTAGGTGTCCGCGTCGATGAAGACGAACCAGTCGGCGTGCGGGTGGAGGGCGAGTGCGCGCGAGGCTACGTGTAGGTTCTTGTACTTGTCGAGCTTCCATGCGCCGGACTGGTTTGGCGCCGTCTCGGGGTCGCGAAGCCGCTGCTGGGCGGTGTAGAACTCGAAGTCTGCGAGTGTGGCGATGAGTGTGGGGTCGATGTCCCGCAGCGAGTCGTGCAGAGTCAGTGCGCCTATCTGCTGTTCCAGGTCGGAGAAGATGGAGTACGTCGGCACGTGGGTGAGTGTGGTGAGCGCGTGGATCGGGATGCGCCGCAAAGCTTCGGTCGCGCCGGTCTTGATTAGGAGGGCGATGTTGCTGGTGTTGGAGACTGCGCCGGGGGGCAGGTGCGGGTAGGCGTGTGGGTCTAGCGGGGCACCGGCGGGGGCGGGGGCGGTGACAGGGAGAGAGGCGGAGAGCGGGGTGGCGAGTGGTAGCCGTGTCGGCGTCTGTGTCACTGTCGTCGTCGCTTCAGCGGTGACAGTCACAGTCACCGCCTCCGCCGCCGCCCCCGCCGCCCCCGCCGCTGCCACCGGCGCCGCTGCCCACCGCGTCGCGACGGGCGTCTGCCACGCCACGCTCCACACCTGCAGCAGCACCATCACCACCACGCCCGCAGCCACGACGCGCTGCAGCTGCGAGCTCATCGTCAATCCAGTCGTCACTCGTTACTCGTGGCCGTGTGCTGAGTCGAGGTATTGCCGTGGATTGTCCCGAGTTGGAGCTGGAGCTGAGCTGGTGGTGAAATTTTTGCTGAAGCTGTAACAGATACCTGCGGGATGAAAACCGGGACAGCGAGGTTAATGTACCATCGGCGCGGGACAGCGACAGGGACAGGGGCCGCGCGCACTCGGTTAGCGCAGCCAATGGCAGCGTGTGTGGCGTGCCCGGGAATGTCTGCCAGTGGACGAGCTGCGGCTGGATGGGACCACGGCATCAACGGTGATAGGGGCTACTCGCCACGATGTTGGAGTTTTTGAGTAAAGGTTTGATTTACCCTGCAGATGTGGGTGCGCACCCCGATATACCCTCGCAGGGGGCGGAGGAGAGTACACAGACTCCCCAACTTCCACACCATCGACACAGACCTTCCACCCACACACCAGTCCACACTATGATGAAAGCATGCTAATTAGTTCTTTTACAGAGACCAGTGCAAGACCTCGGATTTAACAAAAATTGCTCGGCAGTGGAGAGCTCGGCGGACCGAAAGCTCTCGGCAGCCAAAAAGCTCGGCGATCGGAAATCTCTCGGCGACGATTTTTTCGCCAAAGCATGATCTTTTGGTGAAAGCTGTGGATAGGAAAGCTATCAGGACACGCTATTTATGTGGAAAATTTGGTAGGCAAGTGGCAGCACGCCGTAAAAAATTGAAAGGATACACAGCTAATTATTATTGCAAGGCTATAACTATCGCTATGTCTACAACTTCCCGGAACTCTCAACCTCCCGGAACTCTCAACCTCGCGCATCCAGATAGGTTTGGAACCGACAAGTTCTACTGTTGTGCCCGACCCGCCCACAAGTCCTGCATTCCTGCCGGCCCGCACCCGATGCCCTGCTTGCCTCTCCAGCAACTGCCCGCTTTCGCTTTCTCCGCCCTAGGGTGTCTCTGAACCTTCCAACAGGAGCTACCATAATGGTGGCCTGAGTGGCCTCTGGATCGTTGTATAGCGAATTTGCATTTGCAATCTCATCTTTGACAGAAAAAGCGATAGCAGTGAGGTTTTCTATCAAGCCGTAGGTGTTGTACCATGCTGTAGTTGTGTAGCGAGCAGGAATAAATTCATCCAGGCGACGTCCAACCTTCCATATGCATGCTACAGCATGCGAGCAAGGTAGATCTCTGTTCTGGAATTCTTGACACGTGCAGGTACGGGCTTGAAGGTTGACCACATACCGCTGTCGGTCCCGGTTGATGACAAGACCCAGGTTATCGGAGGACATTTGTAGGCTGTGTTGATGAGCTTCAGTTCGCACTTGCTGGATTATTGTGAGGATTCTTGGAGGAAAGGGTTCATTTTTTTGTAGAGAAACAAGAGCTGCTTGTCGGTAATCGTAGCGGAGCTTCATTACACGGTCCCAAATACCCATAAGCATATCAACTATCGGTAACTCACGTATTTCCTTAAACATAGAATTCATAACCTCTGCAGCATTAGATGTTCTTTGTCCGCAACGTCGTTGAACACCGTCAGGAATGAATGCTGTAACCCACATCTCTTTGGCAATATTTGACAAGTATTCCACACCTGTACCCGAAACTGCACCCAATCGCTGGATAGCTAGAGAGTATTCCTGCTCTGTCGTTGCGTTTGCCACACCCCAAAAGTATCCTATGTGCCTTAGACCAACCTTCTTCTTAAAATTCTCTTTCAGGTGATGGAGACAGATAAGACGCGTCACTCCAGGCCCCAGAATCTCCTCTGCATTCAATAAACCTTTGTCGCGGTCTGAGATAATTGCGGCATCAAGAACTTGTGGTATCGCGTATTTCAGGTGATAAAAAAAGTATTCCCAAGAAGCTTTGTTTTCGCTCTCGACAACAGCCCAAGCGAGTGGAAGGTAGTGATTGTTGGCATCGACACCGACAGCCAGGAGGAGAGTTTGCGCATAAAAACCCTTGAGAAATGTTCCATCAACTGCAAAGAATTGACGCGTATGTGTGAAGGAGTGAAAGGATTGCGGTGGGCAGATGAAGACGCGTCGGAACGTGCGTTGGTTGGGAAAGTCCGGGTGGGAAATTACCTCCGAGTGGAAATGAGTGCCAAGTTCTTGGCCCTCTAGTGCCTCCAGGTACCCTGGTAGCGCTGCAAATTGTTGAGTGTCTAGCTTGGCGCGCTGCCCAACAATCGCTTGTTTACAGTTGTTCGCTGCCTTGTAACTCACCTCCACTCTCTTCAGTATCCGGACCGTATCAATGATCTGGTGTGGCTTCGTATCCCTCTTGACCTCCATCAATTCAGGTACTACGCGTGTCAACCACCTGGAAGTATTTGCAACAGAAGCCTTCAAAGCACCTCCACCAACACAGGAATGAACGCGTTCAACAACTTTAACCTCCCACTCACCCTCATTTTCGATGCCGGGTCGAGCTGTTGCATACACGTACCAACCACATGAATTCACGGCCGGAACTCTGCCAGCAGGATCTGCAACACTACCAGCAGCAGATTTCTTCCACTTGCTACACCGAAAACGCACACGCAATTTGCAGCGGACCGGAGTAGAGAACTTGAAGTGTTCTTCAATTGACCAATCTTCGATGCATTCAATAAGAAGAGTAATGGAACCGAATATTTGCCCGGGCTGAAGGTACATCTTACGCGCCGGATCAACAGTTACAAGACTGGAAGACATTGCACACGCGTTTGAAAGGTAGGAGTGAGGAGTCGGTAAATCAGGGAAGAAATTCGGAAAATAGGGGAAGCGGAGTAAAGAACACGGTCCTGAAGTTGAAGAAGTTCATCAAGCGGAGACAGAGCAGTGGAGTCCCTTTTATTGCAAAACCCAAACTGAGCTACTAATGTACTGTTCGCTGGCAAAAGACCGTAACTATGCCAGTTGTACAAAGTTCCCTCAGCCCATTGACGCGCCGTGCCTAATACCTATCGAGAGATTCCCCCTATTAGCAAAATTATCAAGAGTTCACAGGTGCCTCGCTAGAGTTTCCACTCACTGTCGTGACCTTTCACATGTAGAAGACCCAATAGCCTGCTGCCTTCCCTGACAAAGGGATAATAGCTTCCACAAGTACTGCCAGGTCTGTTGCCGACTGAGAAATCTTCGGTCCGCCGAGAGATTTGCGTCCGCCGAGAGATTTGCGTCCGCCGAGAGATTTGCGTCCGCCGAGAGATTTTGGTCCGCCGAG